GCTACACTTACGGGAGATCGAAAATTGTACAAGTTGCCGTTCAATTTCAGGGTTCTTTTTGTTGTTGCCGGAAGAAAAGAGTCGACCATGCAAAGCATCGATTTGTAAAGGTTTCGATTCAAGGAGTCCCCCACGTAGACGAGCCTTTTCCCCCTTATTTTTTTAAGCAATGCCGTGCCATTGAACCTATACAAAGAAAAATGATACTACTACAAAAAAAACAACAAAAGTCTATATGAGCCTGAAAATGAGCTCGAGCTCAGTGTTTATCACTAATAAAGAGCCGAGTTCTAACCTTAACGAGCCGATCTCGAGCTTTAACGAGCTGAACTATATAAAATTATATAAAAATCCTTTTTTCGATTCTTAACAAGCCTTATCGAGTCGAACTGAGCTCGACTGGTTAATCGAACGAGCTCAAGCCGAGCTTTAATTTAAAAACAAGAATATTATAAAGATTGGATTTTTATTTACCAAACCTTGGAAGGTCACAACCATGAGGCTGCCATCTCCAATTCTGATACTTTAAGTCCTTTCTTCCGAATGTCTCGCAAGCAAAATCGTCCTCCATAAACAGGCACTTTCGCTCCTTGTAAATCGGGTTCGAAAAGTTGTCGTAAACCCACGTGCCCGAAAACAAGTCGCACCTTGGGTTTTCGACCCTGGTTTTAAGCGAGTTTTCTTGGATAAGATTTTCCGGGCTGTTGTTCCGGGTCAGGTGGATAGAAACTGCAACAAGGGCTAAAAGGGCTAGGCTTACTAGTTGAAGGAGTTTTGGCTGTATTTTCCATGTCTTGATGAAGGCCAATTTTTCGTTTTTCATTGTCTTTTAGGTTTAGTTTTTGCCTTGTGAGCTTGAGTTTGGTGATTATCTGTACTAATGTTTTTACTTGGGCAATGATATGTTGTAGCAATGTAATGGGACAATTATGTCACGTGTTTTTTTTAATGAATTGTCGTGTGTGAAATTGATGGAAAGTGTGAGATTGAGTGAAATTGGAAGCGTAATTATTCTTTTGTGCAAACTATATGGAAATATTTTACGTTGATCAATACATATTCATATGTGGTTATATTTTTATTTGTTAATCTACCATAAAAAATAAGGTGAAACCCTTTATTAACATGTGTATATTATATCAACATCTTTTGTGCCCATTACTGTAGTTTAAGGATTTGGTAGGAAGAAAAAAGAGGAAATTGAAGATAGCTTGCTTGATATAATTTGATTCCTCATTTGATAAGATTGCGACACAAATTAATTTTTGCATTAAATGTGATTGTAGATGGAGGTTTTAAAATAAATTCCTCCTAATTAATGATTTTAATTAACTTTGATATTTCAACTTACACACATACTCACACGAGTGTGTGTTGATCTAAAGGAATAGAGTCGAACCTTGGGCTACATAGCTAGCCTAATAATTAATTACATAATTTAGTTTGGCTAGAGAATCAATTTTAAATTTATTCCCTAATTTTATATTTTGTGCATGTCATTTGAATGTTCATAGATATAATGTTCAATTCCTTGTGCTAAAAACAACTGGAATGGATGTTGGGAAACATCCAATTCCAGTTAGGCGGTTCTACACGTCATACTTTTTAACGAAAATGTATACTTATGCTATGAAATGTCATACATTTGTTTATGTTTTTTTTTTATGAATAGTTTAAAAGTATGCATATATGCTAACAATGTGGTTGTTTTAACCTCTCTGACTGCTAATAGGAGTGATCGTAAAAAAATTCGTGTATGCTAACATTATATGGTTTATTAAAGTTCATTGGCATTTTGGTCGTTTAACTAAGAGAAATACAACTGTACGGAGGTTAATTTGAACGAATTTTCATTTTAGATGTTGATCGTCCATGAGAAGTATAATCCAAACTGCAGTTTATTGACAAATATTAGGTAGGTGATTAATGCTTCAACTGCAGCTATATATATTCACCAACTGTGAGCATGGTGAAAACTGAAATCACATTGTTAGCTTATCATCATCTCTTGCTAGTTTATCTCTTGGTAGACTTGCATGAAAGGAAAATGACAAAATTGTGCACAAAATAAATTATGCACCAGCCGGGAATCGAACCCGGGTCTGTACCGTGGCAGGGTACTATTCTACCACTAGACCACTGGTGCGTTTGGTTAAAATTTTAGTATGCTCAATATAGATTCGTGCTGCACTAAAGCTTTAAATCTGCATCTGTACGATTATTGTATTTCAGATGCTATCAGGCAATTGTCCACAATGTTCAACTATTATGTTATGCAACCATAAGACCAAAACTATCATCCAATTGGGCAATAATAAACTCCAACTTTATTTTTTTTTACAAATGAATTAACTTTGTACTTGTTAAATACTTGTTTAATTAAAGAGCTAAACACGGTTAGCGACGTAGCGTACCACTTAATAGGTTAAAAGAGTAATATCTTTATTTCATGATATTGTAGTGTTAATCTTTGCACAAATTTTCAGACCTCGAACAAAAATAAAAAGAATGTATAATCATTGCACATTTTTTGAGATCGAGCTCAATTTTTTAGTTTGATCTTTGACGAGCTATATTTGAGCTAAAATTTACAACTTACAACTCTAATTCCTAACTCTGTAATAGTATTTGAACTTGCTCCATTCAAATACATCCAAGATCATGAGTTCATGGCTACCACCATTTCCCTCCATCAATCCCAAAAAAAAAACCATCAAGAAGATTTCAGAATATGTTGCTCAGTTGAGGAGGGTCGGAAAGGAATACGGTACGACAGACTCATGTTCTANTCATACTAGATCAAAATAATGGAAAAAGATGGTGTTGGCGTGTTGCTTAAGCACATCTGCTGTCATTTCATGCTAGATTTTTTTTCCTTTTTTTTTTTCTAAATTTCATACTAGATTAAAATAATGGAAAAAAAATTCAGTGTAGCCAATCGTTGCCTTAAAGAGCACGAGACTTAAATTTAGCCATCAGTCCTCCACTTGTTAGTTTCGATATCAACGTAGCAAACCAGAGCATATTATATAATTTCCTTTTACTTTGGTTTAATCACCCACCTTAAATAAACTTCTTGTTGGCTCAGCATAGCCTCTATTTTCATGCTCAAATTATCTCATTGCAGTAGAAAACCCGGTGTGGCCACTTAGAAGTTTGAACATGACGCTACAAATACATCAACCATCCAAAACTTCAAGTCACGTCAAAATCCAAAACTCAATGTGGCAAAAAAAAAAACATCAAAATATCCAAAAGTTCAAGGGAACATCACATTCTCACCAAAATCATTTCCTTAATTCGCATAATGCATTAAGACGCAATAAAAAAATTGTTCATTCAAGTAAAAACTCTCAGCAAGCTTCCAAAACACAAATACAACTCAGTTTTATAACAAATTCAAAACTTACTTTAAACCATCCATAACAACAAAAAAGCACTACTAAGCTGTTGCACCCTGAGCTGCAAGCCTCTTCCTAGCCTCCTCGATAATGGACAGCTTAATACCCTTGCCCTTGGGAAGGGAAACCCACGGCTTTGTACCCTTTCCAATAGTGAACACATTGCCCAGACGAGTTGCAAACTCGTGCCCAGTTGCATCCTGAATATGGACAGTCTCAAAGCTACCCTTATGCTTCTCACGGTTCTTGATAACCCCAACTCGTCCCCTGTTCCTGCCACCAGTGACCATAACAACATTGCCAACGTCAAATTTGATGAAATCGACAATCTTGTTGCTCTCCAAGTCGATCTTTATGGTGTCGTTAGCTTTGATGAGTGGGTCCGGGTAGCGAATGGTCCTCCCATCATAGGTGTTGAGGTAGGGAATGCCTTTTTGTCCAAACTGGACTGTACGGACCTTGCAGAGCTTGAACTGCAGAGCCACGAGAAAAAAATAAATAAATAAACATGTGACGCTATTATGTAGTTAAACTCGTTATATGAAATGAAAGCAACTGAGAAAAAATGGTAACAATCGAGTGCCTCTACCCAGCTCAAGAACAATTAAAACTCAAATCACAAAATAACACAGTATCTCAATATGCAACACAGGAGGAAAATAAATAGTTAAGGTCATTCAAAAATGAAACTCTTTTTGGATTCTTATTTGTGAATGAAATTAATATAAAATACAAGTTTTTTTTTTTTTTTGGTTCTTTCTATTTTTTGGTCTCATTCTTGTAGCTAGATCAAGATTTGGATTGAGATAACTCAACAATTTATTACAACTATTGATCATATATACACATAAGGCTCAAGACTACAACAAAACATATTCATACAAAGGAATATAATTAAGGTACCAGTTTGTAACAACAGACAACTAATCCATATTAATTTATTGTGATTCAGGCGCCTTAATCAAGCTTTACACTAATGAAAAAGTACCACATATAGCCCAATGGGTCTCTGCAAATTCAAACATGTGTATGAAAGGTGCAGATTTAACACCGAAGAAAAACCTAGAAGGTAGACGAAAACAAACCTTGGCCTCCTCATCCCTAATTATATGGAGACGGAACCGGCCTTTGGTATCATACAGTAGACGGAAATGTTCATTGGTTTTTGGAATTGAAACCACATCTAAGGAAACAAAAAACATAGCAGAAACACCATTTCAGACAGAAGAAAGAAAAAAGGCAAAAGCTTTTCCAATCAACACGACATAGAGCACTTACCCATAAAGCCAGCAGGGTATGTCTTATCAGTCCTGACCTTCCCATCAACAAGGACATGGCGTTGCATCAGAATAGCAATGACTTCACGGTAAGTAAGAGCATATTTCAGCCTGTTTCGCAGAATGAGAATCAAAGGCAAGCACTCCCTTGCCTTGTGGGGTCCAGATGACGGCTTGGGGGCCTGAACTCAAGTAGGTTTATAGAATTATAGAACATTATTTAACCACACAGTTACATTGACAAGCAGACCAAGAAACGGTTAGCACAAACAGAAAACAATTATAGATTAAAGAAACCCAAATAAAACGGAGCTATGGTTATACATACAAAAGCACCACCAAGCTTGTCCAACATCCAGTGGCTAGGAGCATTGAGCCTCTTCAAGTGTTTCTTCAGTCCTCTTGCCTGTTAATCGTATCAAAAGTACAGCACAATTAAGATAACACAACTAGTAAGAAAAATACATTAAAAAATATTTTTTTCACACGAGAATCAATACATCTTCAGCAGTTTACATTAAAAGATCGAAATTACACCATACAGGCACATAAAAACCTATTTACACGTTCCTACAGCATGATACATAAGCCTCATAAGAACATTTAACCAGATCCATTCATTTAATCGCCATTAATGCTGATTCAGAAGAAAATCAGTATCACATAACTGATCCGCGCACACACAATGAAAGTCCAAACACACATTTACACAATGATGCGAACAACAAGTAAATCTCTCTTTCAAATGCAAATCACGAACAGGACAGGAAACAAAGGCATACATGAATCGTAAAGAAAGCTTAGTACGCCATTAACAAAGCTCAAAGGTTGAGAAATTTTCACTAACCATGTTTGCTGGTGGTGGAAGATGGAGCACACGGCGGCTGGCTTTGTAGCTGGACTGCAGTAGTGAGGAGCAATGAAAACCCTAATTCCCAATTATATGGTTGAAGGTTTACAGTGAAGGGTAGTTTAGAAATTTGATACTTTTTGGGCTGGATCAGGAAATATCAACTTTGACCAATTATTTAACCTGGGCCTAAATCGATAGATCGTTTTCATACAGAAATGGGCTTCAGGTCAATGTGTTCAATTGGATATGCTAAAAGGTCATATGGTAAGAAAATTAGTCATAAAATTATTGCTCTAAAATACTTTTTCTGGAGTTCTATAAAATTATACTTGCATATACTTTTTTGGAGTTATATAAAATTATTTTAGTTAATATAATTTCTTTTAATAAATTCAGTCCTAATTTTTCTCTCACTGTTCTCACTCCCTTTTCCATCGCCGGGTTCGCCCCTCTCTTCCTTTGTCGTTGCCTTCCTCAGCGGGTAGCCGGACCCCTTTTCGGTGGTCGGCCATTGGCCGCACGACTTTGGCCCCGACTTTACGCTTCTTCTGGTCCGTTTTGCGCTGGTGGATCCGAGCGGTCGTCCGAGATTGGGCTTTGCCGAATTCAGGTGTCGGTTCATGGTCGCGGTCCGTCGGCCTCCCTGGAGTAGAGGTGGCGCTTGGTGGGGTGTTGGTCGGGGGCTAGGTGTGGCTCCGGCAGCGTGCGGCGTCTTCGTCAAGGGCAGTCGGGGTTGAGGAATGATGTCTCTTTCGCCCCCTTTTCCTCTATTTTCCCTCGGGTTGGGTTCGTGGGGTTGCCGTGTTGCCAGATTAGGACAGTGGTGTTGGCCGAGTTTGGGTCGGCGGTGGTGGGGGTGGGCGAGTTTGTTGTTCCTCCAGCTGTAGGGCGGGTCATCTTCCTGGAGTTGTTCGAGTTTTGGATTCGACTTCAGTTAGGCGTTTTTTGCAGTTTTGGGAGTGGGTTCTTCGGCTGCGATCCAATCAATTGGGGTCGGTCGTGAGTCCACTAATGCTTCGAGCAGAGTTTGGTCTGCCTGCAGTGGGAAGGGCTTTGTGTGTTTAATTTCTGGTTTAGGTGTTTTTGTTTGAGTTAGGTGTTCTAGGTGTTGTGTTTTCTAGTTTTTTGGGTCTTTTGGGTTTTGTGTTATCTCCCGGTGGGAGCCGTGTAGTATCCCGTATGGAACCGTTGATTCTCTTGTTGGGAGTTTGTAATATTTTTTTCGTTGTGTTGTGGGTGCATTGTCTAGTGTTGCTAGCGTAGGTTCTGGGCCATCTTCGGGTCTATCTTCCCATTTTTATTCATCTCTTAGTTGTTACATTCAACGGGTAGCTATTTTTCCTTTTGCACTTTTGTGCGTTTTATAAAATCCCTATCGTTTCAAATATATATATATATATATATATATATATATATAATTTTTTTTTTTAATTTTATGTTCTATCATACAACATTTTGATAGTCCAGTTTATTCCCAATTGGTCTCTCTCGACTAAACTGTATAAATTCCAATAAAAAGTTATTACAATTATGTGAATGCAAAAAATTTCATTATCACAAATTCTACTAGGAGATGGCTTATCATTAGGCAGGTCGGTTGACCCCTTAAATTTTTTTAAATTTTTTTAATAAGAAATGCATAGTTATGCTATTAAATGTCATACGTTTTTTTATTTTTTATTTTTTTTGTTAGGGTATGTCATTTAAGTTTGATTTGTTAAATTTATGGTTATCTAACTGTTAGGTCCGTCTACATTAACCTTACTATTTCATAATATATGTTGCAGACATTTTTTTACACTCAAGTTCCCAGCTTATACTTGGACTAATCATGGACACCCACAAAACTGACCCCACAACTCACCGGGGGAATCTGAATCACTCATGGACTGATTGAACAACACTCCAAGGTTCCTAGTATGGTTCTTGAAAATAAATACTAACTGTTTCATGTCTGGGTTCCCATAAGAAATAGAACGCCCACCTATCGCTGGANTCGACGACTGAAGCAAAATTGTTGTAGACATTTTTTATTCACTTTTTATGAACCAATGACAACATAAATTTATAGTCTTATCTTTTGGTATTTTAATTTCATAATATTGTACTAGTAAAATTACATAAATTTAGTGCAACAGTATTATTGAAGGGCTAAGTTGAACAGTGTTATTGAAGAGCTAAGTTGAATAAAATTATAAAATCTCAAGTGGGTCTCGACTCTTGTATGCTCCCAAGTCTTAACAGGGGAGAATTTGACCCTACTGCCCCCACATGCATGGACGAATATAGGAAGCACAAAAAAAATACTAAAAGATGAAAACCCAATAATTGTAACGAAGTTCAATACGTAGGTCTTTACAAGTTTAATGATGTGCAGGGATGAATTCAGGGAGCACAAGAAAAATACTAAAAGATGAAAACCCGATAATTATAACGAAGCTCAATACGTAGGTCTTAAAAATTTAATTATGTGTTCACGCGATTTTGATGACATATATGTATGATCTACCAAGCGATTCCGTCCAAAATGCAACAATTTTTATGTACAAATTATAAAGAGTGTATTTGATAAGCATTCTATGTTAATTTATAACTTATTTAGTTAGCTTATAAGTTTTTTCTATTCAAATAAATTTGTTTTAGTATGATATACTTCTTTATAAAGATGAATTGTAAGGTTATCTTTGATAAATTTGGCTAAAAAAACTACTCGATAGTTAATAAATTAGCTAATAGCTTATAGTAAGACTATCTTTGATAAATTTAGCTAAATAACTACTCAATAGTTAATAAATTAACTAATAGCTTATAGTTGTGTTTGGTAAATATCATAAGCTAAGAACTAATAGCTTATAGTTGTGATTGGTAAATATCATAAGCTAAAATATGACTTATGAATATGGGGTTGCTCTCAAATCTCTCTTGCGCTTACGCTAATCGCTACTTCAATTTCCTTACAAGCTCTTTGAATTCAAATAACCTTGTGTTCGGAAGGACGAGTTCTTTTTAAGCTTGAGCTTATGTCATAAGTTTCATTAAGTAGTTTTTCAAATAAGCTTAATGTTTTATTGCAGCTGACTTATTGGTTTTATTTCAGCTCACTTATTGTTTAACAGCAGAAACTAGCAGAAGCTATACTACCTAGATGGATTGCATATTTAGCCTAAAACCAATATTGAGTTTAATACACTCTAGGACAATAACAACAGCTCTTACTTCTTAGCCACGACAAATCCGAGCAAGATTTGAGCAACATAGGCTATGCTCCACATTAACAGTCAAACCAAACTAACTCCAAAGTCGATCAATAACATTATTCATTGGGGCTAAGGATACTTTACAATTTATTTTCAAGAAATAAAAGCAGAGTCCTCGAGCTAAAAGAAGAACTGTTCATGCATTGATAACCGAGATGGATAAATATTGTGGCGGATCCACATATGGGCCAGCCTAGGCATTTGCCTAGGCTGGATTTTTGGTGTTAGCTTCATATCATTACATAAATTTATATTTAAATTTTGTCAAAATATAAATACAAGTTCTAATTTTAAAATTTTAAATAATTTTTACAAAATAACATTATTATTTTAATTAAAATGATACACCTGGCCTGTCAAATTTAACTGCATTGTGTTACAATATTTTTATTATTTATAATGTATAATAGGCTTGATAGATAAATTTATTGTTTTTCAGTCATAGTTAATAAATATTTAATTTTTTTTATAGAGATCGGATAGATATAAATTTTTTAATTTATATATCTATACTTATATTAAAGGGGGTACTATTTACCGAATTAAGTAGCCAGAAAAGTCAACAACATTTATTGCATTACTATTTCCGTATTATATTATATAAAAGGATATTTTATTTACTACATTTATTATCCAGAAAAGTCAACTGCATTAAATGTCATTACTATTTTGGTATTATAATATTTTATTTATTTAATTGATTTATTTATTTGTTTTATTTTAAAAAGGTAAGTATAATAAAAATATTTTAATAATAAAAAAATTAAATACCAAATAAAAATGTACACTTTGACTTATTTGATTATATTTGGTATTTGATTATACCAAATATATTCCTATTTAGTATATACATTAAATACTTACTAAAGTATTTTTTGTCAAAGTTAAGTATAGATTTGTTTATATTATCAAATCATAAAAAATATTAAATCCATATTGTAAAAAAAAAAATTCATATAATTTTATAACAATTCTACTACACTATTTAACAATATTTTTTTTTATTATATAATAAAATAATAATTAAATATTATATGGTGAACAACAATAAGTAAAACTGTTACTTTCTCTTATATCAAGGGATAAATTTATATGCTAAAATTAAATTTTTATTAGTATAAATGTTTTGGTGAGATAATATATTAATTATTTTACAAGCTAGCCCTAACATGCTCATATTTAATGTTGTAAAAGATGTAGAAAAAAACTTATAATAACTCTATTGTTTTTTAGACTTAAACATTGATTAAAAGAGGTAAAAATTCTTAATTTTTTAGACTTAAACGTTGATTAACACTATAGATTGAGTGTTTATATTTAGTAAAATTCCTAATTGTAATAAAAAAATTAATTTTTACTATATTTTAGAATATCTTTAAATTCATTATAGAAAAAAAAAAGAAAAAAAAAACTACAATGAAAAAAACAAGTCAGCTATATATCGATTTGTTGTACTCCTCAAATCACATTCACAATTTGGCTACAAGGAAATGAAACTCATTGATTAAAATATTATTTTGTCAGTAGTCTTAATGTACAAGAGACTTTAAGACTGCACTTGAATATGATAAAATTTTTATTGAACATCGTACAATTTCTTGCGTATTATAAACTTTTATTGAATATTCCATCTTATAATATAATATTCTCCAAATAAATATATCTCACGGGTCACGTACTATATATATTTCGTACATTTTTCTTTATTCATGTATATAATTGTAAGTCTGGATAAATAGCCTTAAAATTGTGCACCCCGTGCATCGCACGGGCTCTGTACTAGTAAGATATTAATGTCAAACTATAGATCGTCAAAATATGATTAATTTAATTTATAATAAATAAAAACTGATAACAAATATAAATGTTATTAACTTTTAAAAATATTTACAATTTAAGTTAGCCAAGGGTTTAAATTTGAAAGTTCTAATAAACATGGATAAAAAAACTCTACATTTATATGTAAGAAGATAATCCATAAGGAACTCTTCATAAAATGACATAACCTAAAATGATGACATTTAGGTTTTTTTTCTTAGAATTAATAAATTTTATTTCAAAATGACTTATCTACATATAACTTATACAAAAAATTATGAAAACAGGATTGTATAATATTTTTTATATATTTATTAATAATAATAAAAACATAAAATCAAATAAACAGACCTCATTCTCCATTTCAGTTTTTAGCATCAATTGAAAGACATTGAATAGGAAACCCATCATGACCCAATTGTTTCAATAATTTATTTAATTATTAATATAAATACTTTGTGCAATATGGTTAAAAATTTTCTTGAACTATTTTGTGCCCAGCTCGTGAAAATTTCTGGATCCGTTACTGATAATATATTTATCCTAAAAGAAATATGGATTCAACATGTAGAAGATCCACACACTATAGGATAATACCAACAGTAGTTAGCCACCACAAATATGAGCAAAAACTTAAGCTAACATGCTCCAACTAAGGATTCCCAAGTCATGACCAATCAAAATCACTACTATTTTTCATCAATTTAAGAAATCGGATCGTGAGTCATTTCAAGGTCAACTCAAGCTAAATAAAGAAGCTTGAATCTGAAAGCTAAATAAAGAAGCTTGAATCTACTATTATATAGTCCAACCAAGATATAGATGACATGGATGAAATTTCATTAGCTCAATTAGTTCCAAGAGCAAACTATTACACAAAGAAACTCACAAAAACACGAAATACCATCAAATCAAAAACAGGATCCCTAGAAATTCCGATATAAGATACTGAAAAACAGACAAAACATGAAAGCGAACTACTTGGATCTCTGTCTCATCTTTCGGCGCTTCCTCTTCAACCTCCTCATGCGCTTCTTTTTCCACTACAAAAAAAAAAACACAGATTATACAAATTGCAGCAAAAATCAATGGAACCAAAACTAATTTGTATGATAAAGATGAGACATGGGCTCGAGATTAGTTTACCTTCGCTCTCATGGTGAAAGGTGAATTGCTACTAAACAGTAACGCCGCCGAGTCGAAAGAACCCTGAAAGAGAAACTAGTGTTGTGTGAATAAAAAACCCTAGTTGCAGACGAGCCTATTTATACAGTGCATTTATTATTGGTTAGTGAATGGGCTTTTGGAGTTGGTTTTGGGTAATCAAATTGTAGCCCAGTAAATAATAAGGTTCGGCCGGGTTATAATGGGCTATCACGTGCCAGCCCATTTTTTACCTTAAAAAAAAAATATATGAAAGAGATAGTGTTAGCGGGTTCCATTTGCACACAAGTCGAGCCGAGCTCGAGCAACTTGAGTCTGCACTTGAATTGATCTCGAGTCGAGCATTTAAAGTCAATGATACAAATAATCAAATAATAATTAAATAAAATACCAAAAAAAGATATACATGGAAAAACAATACAATTAATTGAAGAGTCTCTCATCCTCAAGCTATTTTGTCACCACGGAGAAAAGACTTGTGTGTTAAGGTATGATTCATTCCCTTTCATAACCAGTTTTTCCATGGTATTGAGTCCTTATTATGTTTTTGTTAAGTTTCTTTCACCATCCAGTTGAAAATTCCCAGTACTCCCAGTCGAAACGTGAGCAATGTTTTTCTTTTTTCCTTTTAGAAGTTAAACTGTCACTTGTATTTTATCCTCATATTTTAATTTTACACATGGACATTTTTCTCTAATTTTAACATTGAGGATGCAGCAAGTACTTTATAAACTCGATCAGGTTCTAAGGTATTTTTCATCAGTATGGCCTTTATCTTGTCTCATCTTTTTCAGTTGTTTTTATACATATTTTTTATGTGCTATTTTTCCTGATAATGTATTATTGAGTAAAAGTGAGGATACATACATGCTTGAATTCACAAATTGAAATGAGATTTTCTGTAACCATGCAAAACCTTCGGTACCCATTTTCTATAGTAAGGATGCTCATTTACTTTTTGTTATCTTACAATAAAATTTTGATTAATCAGGTATAGAGCACACATGAAAACAGTAGTGATGGCACCAGTGAAAAACGCAAAGTATCAAAACAAAAGAAGTGAAATTCTTTCCAGAATTTTTTAACATCTATTTCTATTGAAAAAATAAGGCCAAAGTAGTAGTAGAACGTAAAAGACACATTTGCTAGTATATAAACGAGGCCTCATGTTCCATAACTAAAAGTGAAACGGCAAGCAAATACAAAGGACGATGTCAAATTTCAAAGGGAACTGAAAAAACTAAAGAAAACGAAATCCGAAATTCTTAGGCGGCTGCACCATTTTCAGCTTCATCCACTGGCTCAGCATCAGCTGTATCTTTAGCCTTACCCTCTTTCTTACCTGCAAAAATAATACATCATGTATTACGAAACAGTGGTTTACAAATCGAGCAAAACCCATATATATTTTCAACCAACCTTTCTTCTTTTTGCCTCCACCTTTCTTCTTAGACTTAATGGGCAATGATAACCAGGCTTTAACTTCAGGATCATCTACAGTTTTTGATGGTTGCAGTTCTTGTAGAGGATGAGAAGTGATCCTATCTGACCCGTTTGGCATTAGCAAAACAGTGAACTTGACGTGGGCAACCAGATCACCTGTAATAATATCCCCAAGCAACCAAAATATGAGAAAAGCAACATAGGCCCCCAAAAAAAAACATTGGACAATCTGTAATTCATACCGGGTTTTTCATGAAGTACAGGATATGGCTGTAGAAGATCATGATTCACGCATTCTACAAGGCCCAAACGAGCGCGCTTCTCTTCCAAAGCCCTGCAAATACACGTTTATCAAAATACTTATATTCAGTTTGAAGGAGAAAAATGAACAGTAACCTGCAACAAAATGCACTAGTCGAAGAACCACTAAAACCTTGCTGAAAATGGCATGATTGGGAACTTCTGGCTTATCTCGCTGAAAATGAACCGAGATGCTTTCATCTTTAGGTGATAGTTCTTGTCAACTGCCCTTTTATATATAGTTGTTTGTTTCTCATCTAACAGTTTTGGCTGCAAGTATCAGACAAGAAGTTCCATAATAAAAAATTCGAGCACAAATAATAAAATCAAATGTCATAAACATCCTCCATTTCGAGCTTTCAACTACCTTGCCTTCACCAGTACTTGTAACGATGTCAATGGAGTACACCTCATTATCCTCAAATTCAGCTTCATCAACTCGTGTCTCGGGTGACGAGACACTTAAGACAACCTTGTTACCATCAATCACAAATTGCTTCATTTGATGACTAAGTACTCCCTCGACAATCTTGCAGTCGTAAGCAGCAGCAACTTTCTGAATTGCCTCAGTGACATCTTTATTCTACCAACAAGAGCAATAAATAAACAGAAGATAAGAACACGATTTCTAGAATCACATTTCAATAATACCAATTAATTGTCACAAATCCAAGGTATAATTAACAGGACTTAATTGCTGTTAGTAATTACATACTTCCGTACACTGTTGGTGATTTGTCTAATTGCTAAATATGGATTCCTAAAATATTATAATAGGCTATTAGCGAATTGCCAGACAGATTGCCCTTGAATCAGTCCCAAACAACAGACGCCATACACAGTCTATTGCAATAGATATAACAGGGGAAGGAGGATAAAAAGGGCTAAGGTATAAAGATTAAAGATTTAGTGGAAAATGACTGAAAAATCAATGCATAACATTTGAATGAACTGGCAAGAACAGTACAACTGCTACCAGAAACTACACTGCAATAAGCTTGAAGTCAGTAGACAAACAAAAGGGAAACATGATTCTCCATCAGTGTAACTATGACTAGGAAGAACTTCATAGGATGCAAGATCCATCTCTCAAGACTATCATCATCATTTAGAGAATCAGTCACCCAAAAATGAATATGGTAACACTCCTTTAGATCAATTGTTTTTGGTAAATTAAATGGAAGGCGAAAAGCTGAAAAGAAAATATATTAAATTAAACAAAATTGAAGGTTTCACCAAAAGATGGTTAACAAAGTTAACAATGCAACTTCCAAACTTGATTGAATAAAGGGAGATGGCAATAAATAGTTATATAGCAAAAACTAAAAAAACCCTATCAGAGTAAAAAATATGATAGCATCATCAGGGGCAACACCCTTAGCTTGCAAAAGGTGTTCATCATATAGGGAAACAAAGGCCCAGTAACCATGCTCTACAGTCAGACAACTTCAACTGCCTCATACATTCAAACAAAACCAAGAGAACTGATAAAAACAAAACTCCTATTCAATGACATCAATTAACCATTTTGCGATTGACACAAATGTGATATACATCAAGGAATAAATGTATTTGCATCAACAGCATTAGCACCAAGTGCATCCATTGCAAGTCAAAAATCACTCAAAACCTTTAAAAGCACGACCGAGAAACGAAACAAAATCTTAGAAAATAAATTACCTTCTTCCCTGGCCTAACAAGCCTTAAAGCAACCTCAGCAGCTGTATTGGCAGCAGCAATAACATCAGCTGCCCTGCCAGTAACTGGTCCTTGCTGAATTACATGGGTGTGACCAACTACAGCAATAAATCCATCTATATGACACCCCATATCACTGCAGATAAACCACGTCACTCAATCATGTCAATACCATAACAGCTGTGTCATTAATATCTGCTCGTAACTTTGCACGTATATATAAATCTTACATTTTCACAATATCTCCATCTTCCAACACAGTCTCGTCACTAGCCAATGGCGAAAAATGGCAGACTGTATTGTTCACGGAGATGCAAGTTGGGAACGCAATACCCCGTTCAATCTTCTTCTTCACATTCTTGTACAATTTTCCCGATTGCCTAATGAGACACACCATTGATACATATACATATAAATGCCACCAAAACATTTGAAAAACAAAAATATAAGAAAGGGATTTTTCGACGATTACTCACTCACTAATAAAAGCATCTCCTTTCTCACAAAGGTCAACAATCTTGGTCTTTGGCTTGCATTCTGACAGCACTAGCTGTAGTGCCTCTGCAGTTAACAAATAACTTAGGTGATAACAAATCCCAAAACATTTGATAAATGAAGACAAAATTATCCAAAATTCCAACTCAAAACATAAACTTCCATTATTTCAATAGTCCTATACACATAAGCTTTCACCAACGCCATTACACACACAAAGCCCCAAAAATTGCAGAAAAAAAAAAGAATGAATAAAACCAGCCGCAACTGTTAACAATTTCAGCAGCGGATTTGTATTTGGTGACAACATCAGGAAAGCTGAGATCCAGCTCCCTCTCCTCCCTTTCCTCATCCGACATTGTGCCGAGCTTCAATTAAAAAAACAAAAAAAAAAAGCAAAAAGAAAAATTATCAGACCATCATCGCACAAAAACATAAACACCAACTGAAAAGGATGAAAATTCGAATCAGGCTGAGAAATAACCTGTATTTGAGCTTTCAGGAACCAGCGAGAGTGCGAAAATTAGGGTTTATCAGGTGAGTGCGAGCTTGAGGTCGGCAGAGTAGTGTGCAGTGTTGTTTATATATGACGTGTTTTTCGCGTTTCTTAAAAGCGGTGTCCGGTAGGGTTTTAGTTATTTTTGGATGTTCACATAATTCTCCATATAGGCATGCTACAAATTACAAATTTGTTATTCTTAGTTGTATTTTTCCAAAATCCACTAAATTTAATCCAAGTCTAACCCTTCTTCATATGATTAATATAATAAATAGGATAAATAATATTTTATTTAATATATAATATACATTCATATTTATATATATTATAATATATATGTATATACTATATATACAAGACATTGTCGTAGTACCAAATATTCAAATGTCTAATCCAACACAATGGAAGCCAATTTAAGAGAGGCTCCTGAGTTGCCCTTCACGAAAATGAGTTGTTTGGTAGCAAAACTTTGAAAGGCCATAACTTTGCGTAGAAATGTCCGTTTTTCTAAGGTTAATTTGATTTTGAAGCAAAATTCTAGGTTTTTCACATTTTTAAACCTCTATATCTTCCAAACGGAAAATCTTTTTACGGATTTTTTTTTATCACAACAATGCTCTCAACTCCAATTTCATGAACCAATTGGCAAAACTAGAAAACGCATTTTTGTACTGAATTACGTCTATATGTATTATACTTGTTGACATTTTTTCAACAAAATATTCTTGGTGTAGTGGTTATCTTGATAGTCTTATTATTCATTTTGGTGGGACGTCATGGGTTCAAGTCCTATAGAGTCTCATTTTGTTGTGTTTTTTATTTTCTCCTTATACACATACACATGTGATGATACATATGTTTTTATTTTGCTCATTGTACATGTGATGATATATGTATGTAATTTTATTTTGTATATAATATATGTATGTTTACAAATATTTTTGTATGTATATATATATATATGTATAACAATATTATCAATTAATTTTTAGATATTTATTTTTTTATTAATAGTTTTTTTAAAAAATAATTAAATTATAGCAAGGTATTTCGAAAAATACGTTTTAAAATTGATACGGTTCAAAAGACGTCTGACCGGCCGGTTCGGACGGCATAAAAGCCTTCCGGTTTAGTCGGCCAGACAATTTTTTTTTTTTATAAATTATTATGTTATATATTCGAAATAATTATGTTATAAATTGGACGTTAGATAAATTGGACGTTCGAAATAATTATCTTTTTTAATACATTATAATAATAATTATAAATAATTATGATAATAATTATAAATTAGAAATAACTATAATAATTATAATAACAATTATAAATTATAATAATAATAAGTTGGATAAATTGTAATCAATTATAAATTATAAAAATATTAATAATAATAATTATAATTAGAATAATAATTATAATTATAATAAAAATAATAATTATAATTAATTACAATTATAATAATTGTAATTAATTATAATAATAAAAATAATTATAATTTCTTATAATTTTAATAATAATATTTGTTATAATAATTATAATAATAAATTGTTATAATAATTATAATAACAATTATAAATTATAATAATAATAATTATTAAAATAAAAA